GTACTTGTTTTATGAGTTTCCAATGGAGAATAGCTATGGTATGGTGGTTATAGTAAAGTCATTATCAAAAGTCAGGTGGCTAGAATACAACAGCTTCTAGAAAACAGCTTAGTTAGTCTAGTGACATGTTTTGAAAGAGAAAGCCCAAGTAAAAAAATGAAATCAGAAAATAATATAATAAGTAAATCTAAGGATTATTTAATAAAGTGTGCAAACAAATCAGCAAATTGAATCCAGTCATCAGTAAATCTATTAAAAAAATTTATTAAAATTTTCCTTTAAAAGAAGCCATAAACCCCCATCCAAAGCAAAAATAACAAAACCACCAATTTAAAAAACCTGAAAAATACCCAAAAATTTTATCAAAAAGAAATCCTGCTAAAAAAGCAAATATCAGATGTTATACTGGAGTTTTGGAGGAAAATAATCGCTTTTCTAGAGGCATTCTTACTGGCTTCCTAGAGAACATTATCAGTTACTGGAGGCTTTATTTACAACAATTTCATTCCCCAAAATCCTAAGCTCAAGTTCTTTCCAATGGCCTGGCATCCTGGGAATTCACTTGATCTGTTGGGCAGAGACATTTCAAACTCAGGGAACATATGATGGGAATTTAGTTTTATGTGTCCCAAAGATACTTAATTCTCTTTGGAGGTTTTACTTGATAATAGCTATGCCCCAGAAAACCATCTTGTTTAACCAATGTGATAAGTTGACAATGTAGTTTTTCTCTCTGATTATAATGTACTCTGTGTAGTCAATACACTGGTACCATGTGAGTGTAATTTCCTCTTTTATTTTATCTCCAATGCACTGTATTATAAATAAACAGTTAAAAAAAACACCAAACAAATCTGTTGCATCTCCTTTTAAGATTGTACCACTGTAGACACTTGTTCTAGTAAAGTAGAATTGGGCACATTTGATTGCATTTAAATTTTTCATGCTTCAGCAGTTTGGCTGGGAGCACAGTAAAGAAAAATCCCATGAGCGAGGATAGTTTAGAATAATAGAACTTGATTTTGTGTATTATAGCGGCAACATTTGCGCTGCTTTAGTTAGGGTTGTGTCAGCACTTCCATTATAAACCCCTGTTTTCAGGGGGTATAACTAGGGAGATATTTTTTTAATACAAATTAAAAAAACAATTCATTTGAATGATTTTTAAGTTATAATAGTGCAAAAATAAAACAAAGTAAAGTCACACAGAAATTGACCATTTTCACAAGGATTCTGATTTTCTTTTGCTTTTTAGTTATATATGGCAGCAGCTAAAGTATGGTGCTATTCTAATACACTGGGGCTAAAAACTTTTGCAATGGAAAATTACTGATATGAACATTAAAAATAAGCATAAGCTTTCCACATGGCATTTAAAAAATATTTTTTTCACTTATTTATTTATTTTAATTTGACCAGAGAAAGATGGGGTGGGGGAGAGTAAGAAAGCAAGCCACCAGTTCCAGGACTCGAACCACAGTTGGCCATGTGGGAGTCCAGTGCTCTTAACCACCAAGCTACCTGTCAGCCCCCCACATGACATTTTAAACATTAAAATATGGGTGTACTTGTTTTATGAGTTTCCAATGGAGAATAGCTATGGTATGGTGGTTATAGTAAAGTCATTATCAAAAGTCAGGTGGCTAGAATACAACAGCTTCTAGAAAACAGCTTAGTTAGTCTAGTGACATGTTTTGAAAGAGAAAGCCCAAGTAAAAAAATGAAATCAGAAAATAATATAATAAGTAAATCTAAGGATTATTTAATAAAGTGTGCAAACAAATCAGCAAATTGAATCCAGTCATCAGTAAATCTATGGTTTATTCAATAAACTATACATTAAAAAATTTATTTACATTTTACTTTAAAAGAAGCCATAAACCCCCATCCAAAGCAAAAATAACAAAACCACCAATTTAAAAAACCTGAAAAATACCCAAAAATTTTATCAAAAAGAAATCCTGCTAAAAAAGCAAATATTATCCTTTTCTCTGTTAACAACATATTTGAGCACTATAATAAAGTAAGCATTAGAAATTAAATGAAGTATAATGTAGAAAAGTGTTTCTGGAACAAAAAGATACAAATTCCTTTGATAAAGGGCAAGATTTCAAAGTGGAGTGTGCCTTTCTTGGTTGTTAAGCATTGTTGTCCCACCCCCACCCCCACTCTCCTTTCCCCAGAACAGTACTGTGAACTGAGGATGAACAGTCAGATTTAATACTACTAATTTTTTTTTGACAGCCTGTCTTTTATTTGCCACCTTGATATACATTTGTACCGGGAGGTGCAAAATAAAAGACAAATTGTGTGAAGTTATAAATAGGTAGCTCTCCTGAATGGTCACTGGAGGAACCACCAGAAGATTGTTGATGAAGAAGGGGTGAAGCCTTTCCTCACTAATTGTATTCAGCGTGTAATTTCTAAACTTCCCTCTGAATTTTGATTTTCAATTAACACTCCCCATTTGAAGATAATTTTCTATTTAATGTAATTGCAGGAAATAATTTATTGGCTGATTAAGACTGAGGACCCAGCCTTCCTTAAGAAAACACTCTAACAAACCAGCCTTTAAACTCAACTCATAGCTTTGGACAGATTGAGTCTATTTTTACAGCTGCATGGTTGTCTTTAATTAGGATTGTGCACTATTGTTCACTGGTGCAGTTTATAGTTGAAATTATCTTTAAGAGACTGTTTTCATTTTAGGTTTTGTGTCATGATTAATTTATACTAAAGCAACAATCTCCGATATTGCTATCGGAAGGAGCCAATTCACTTTGTAATAAGAGGTTTGTGGGGGAAGCTAAAGTCACTCTGAGTTTTGGATTATGATTTTCAATTGTATTTAACTGTTTTAAAAAGCAGCAGTAAATTCATCCTTTTGTTTTTAATGCGAATGATTACATTATCAGTAGTCATTTTCTGAACTACGAGAACACTTGTTTGTGGCACGCTCTTGATAGACTTGCAGAACAGTTATAATTTGTCTGGTTTTACTACAGTATTTATGGGGCCAGTAAAGTAATCTCTACAGTGATTCTTATATACTGAAAAACATCCCTTGATTATCATTTTCTGTAATTGTGTATACATTTGTCTGTTAGTATTGATAGAAATTGGTCGAGGATGTATTTATATGATTCCTTGATGTAGCACTCTTTAGAATATGTAATTTCTTTCTCCTCAAAGAAAATATAGACATTTTTCTGCACTGCCTTTCCCCCATTTTATTTTCTAGTATCAAGTCTAATAGATGAAATTTTATTTGTAGAATGATTATTATAAGTAGGTATCAGCATTTTAATATGTTTCAAAGCACTTCAAAAGCCTGTAATACTTTTATTTAGAACTGTGCATAATTAGATTAGCTGATCTTATATTAATTTTTTTCACTGTAGGATACTAAATCTGAGCCCCCTCATTAATTGTGAGAAATTTAGCATTAGCTGTTAAATCCTATGTGAAACATGGGCTGCTACATAAAAACTACTGTTTAAATTGGAATTAACTTAATTATTTTTCTTTGCACTTGATATTTCCTTCACTGCAATATTCATGAAAGCATGTGACAGATTTGTAAATTTAACTGTTAATCTCAGATTTCTAGACCCTTTAATCAGTATTTATTTGTCTGTAGAAACAGTACTAGCAAGTTAATGATTTGCTAATTTGAAAAATGCTCATGTGGTTTCCTATGTTAACTGATTTGTGCATTTTTTAAAAAATGGTATGAAATCAATTAATGTTAAAGAGCAATTAAGGTGGAGATTTTATTCCTTTCATTACACAGCAGTTTTAGAGCTCAAGAAGCAATAAACCAAAAACAATGTAAAGTTTCAGAAAAAAATACTCTGTTGCCTCTTCTGTTAAGTTATAAACTTTGAGTGGTTTTGTTTCTAACTATTTTGCTGAGAAATTTATCTTGATGAAGAGCTATTCTTAATGTTTTGAAATTCTGTTTAGTGGGGTCATGATTTTCTGATTACGTATGAAAGTATGGGAAGGAGACCTTGTCATGCAGAGTGTAGTTGACATTTATTTGTTGATATATAAGTGAATATTCAGTATTGTTTTGGAGGTTTCTAAATATTTCCTGTAGTAAGGTATTTACTATGAAAACACTAAATGCTTAGAATTTTATACATGCTTTCTAATATAAAATAGAGGTATATTTACTTTAGAACTCAATTCAAATGCTATAAATTATCTTAATAGTAAACTGACATTATCAGCTGACATTATCAATATGTTACTTATAAGTTAAGGTTGTTGACACATTTTGAAGATCATATGAAAAGCTTCAGATTGACACCAAGTAGTGTTAGGCCTAGCACTCATAATAAAAGGTGTAAACTGGGGACCAGCAGGTGGCGTGGTGGTTAAAGTGCTGGACATTCCCACATGGCCGACCATGGTTCAAGTTCTGGACCTGGTGGCTTGCTTTCTCACTTTCTCTCTCTCTCTGGTCAAATTAAAGTAAATAAATGAATAAATAAAATTAAAAACAAACAATTCTTTAAAAAAATGGTGTAAACTAACAGATTAGCTTAGGACTTTCATTATGGATTATTTACTTTCTTGATTGTGTTTTCCTAGATAGGCTTCTTTAGTCCATTCATTTTTTTTATTGCTAATCATCAACCTAATTACTCTTCAAAAACTTAAAATTTATCTGTAGCTGGGAAAGCTGAAAGGAAAAATATATGCACATTCACACTGTACATTATGAATACTTATTCCATAAAAATTTCATCTGTGGATTGGTTAGAGTGAAAATGCACAATGATTACTGAGAAAAGTTTGCTGAGTTTAAAGCAAAGAAGGAAAGGGGGACAGATAAGCAAAGAGCTATTTTTCAGTGGTTTGGAGTAGACCATATATATCTCCGAAGTTAAGGAACTTTCCTTTTTTCGCTAAATTAATCAAATGTGAGGGATAGTTCATTCTTTTGTCACTGACAACCCTTTTCAATCTATGCTGTTTTTCTTATTCTGCAGAAGAATGTCTTCCAAGCAAGCCACCTCTCCATTCGCCTGTGCTGCTGATGGAGAGGAAGCGATGACCCAGGATTTGACCTCAAGGGAAAAGGAAGAGGGCGGTGATCAACATGTGGCCTCCCATCTGCCTCTGCACCCCATAATGCACAACAAACCTCACTCTGAGGAGCTACCAACACTTGTCAATACCATTCAACAAGATGCTGACTGGGACAGTGTTCTGTCATCTCAGCAAAGAATGGTGAGCTTTAAACTCTGGCCACTGTCACTAAGTGTATTGATTGTTATGTCCTCATTATAAATGGGTGTTTTAAGGGAAAGCTCCAAAATACATGGCGTGAGAGTTATTTGCAGTCAGGTCATGAAATAACCACCAGGTTGTTATTAATTTATAAGTAACTGTGAAAAGTTGGAAGATGATTTGCGATTTAGTTTAAGCCTATTATTAGGTCAACGTGTTAAAAGATATTTGATTTTCTTTTTGAGAGGAGGTTTGCTAATGTCTTATTTTTTGATATCCTGAATTGAAAACAGCATAAACCTGGTGATTTAGAAAAATAGGTATGACCAAATAAAGTGTAACTATGTATTTAATATTGAAAAATCAAATTAAGCAAATATGTCTATGTGAATGAGGTCATATGGTGAGTACATCTCCTAGAGGAAATGCAGGTATTTATCATTTTAAAATGGTCATTCTTGATTTATAAAAGCTTTTCTCACTTATGGGCCTATATATTAATTTCAAAAGGACATGCAAAGCTCATATTATTCAATCAGACAGCACAAGTTTTCTTTGAAAGTAGAAGCAACCACATCAAGTATATGCAGTGTATTAGCCAGCTCTCTCATATTAAATTCTAACTATTGGAACAGAAACCACATTGTCATATTAATTATCCAATTCAAAGCAAAAATACTCAATTCTTTTTTTAGCATGTAGAAGAGAAGAAAACTTAATGTATTTATTATATCAAAGTTTTAAACACTAGCTAACTAAAAGTCAAGATAACAAAAAATATTTTAAGTGTACAATAAAGAAATTTTTATTTCTTAATAAAAATAAGGTACTACTTAAAGTGTTTTTACTACTAATAATGACACATATTTAAATTTTTGCTCCGTGTTTAATATCTCAGAGGCTCAATTCAGTAATTTATGGAGGCAGGCATTTCTCTTTTTCAGATGATCTTATAGACACAGTGTTCTAGAACAGTAGGTGAGAAATAGGGGATTGGATGACAAAATGTTTCTGAACTAATTTTTGTTGTGGGAGGGGATCATCTTTGTACAATCTGATCTACTGAAAGATTTATTTTCCTTGAATAATGGGAAGGGAGAAGGTATAAAAAGCGAGAGTAAAGTCTATTTTTCTTTTTTTAGTAAGAATTATTTTATTTAACTTTATTTATATTTATTTATTTATTTATTATTTTTATTTGACTAGAGAGGGACAGAGTGAGTGTCATGAAATAACCACCAGGTTGTTATTAATTTATAAGTAACTGTGAAAAGTTGGAAGATGATTTGCGATTTAGTTTAAGCCTATTATTAGGTCAACGTGTTAAAAGATATTTGATTTTCTTTTTGAGAGGAGGTTTGCTAATGTCTTATTTTTTGATATCCTGAATTGAAAACAGCATAAACCTGGTGATTTAGAAAAATAGGTATGACCAAATAAAGTGTAACTATGTATTTAATATTGAAAAATCAAATTAAGCAAATATGTCTATGTGAATGAGGTCATATGGTGAGTACATCTCCTAGAGGAAATGCAGGTATTTATCATTTTAAAATGGTCATTCTTGATTTATAAAAGCTTTTCTCACTTATGGGCCTATATATTAATTTCAAAAGGACATGCAAAGCTCATATTATTCAATCAGACAGCACAAGTTTTCTTTGAAAGTAGAAGCAACCACATCAAGTATATGCAGTGTATTAGCCAGCTCTCTCATATTAAATTCTAACTATTGGAACAGAAACCACATTGTCATATTAATTATCCAATTCAAAGCAAAAATACTCAATTCTTTTTTTAGCATGTAGAAGAGAAGAAAACTTAATGTATTTATTATATCAAAGTTTTAAACACTAGCTAACTAAAAGTCAAGATAACAAAAAATATTTTAAGTGTACAATAAAGAAATTTTTATTTCTTAATAAAAATAAGGTACTACTTAAAGTGTTTTTACTACTAATAATGACACATATTTAAATTTTTGCTCCGTGTTTAATATCTCAGAGGCTCAATTCAGTAATTTATGGAGGCAGGCATTTCTCTTTTTCAGATGATCTTATAGACACAGTGTTCTAGAACAGTAGGTGAGAAATAGGGGATTGGATGACAAAATGTTTCTGAACTAATTTTTGTTGTGGGAGGGGATCATCTTTGTACAATCTGATCTACTGAAAGATTTATTTTCCTTGAATAATGGGAAGGGAGAAGGTATAAAAAGCGAGAGTAAAGTCTATTTTTCTTTTTTTAGTAAGAATTATTTTATTTAACTTTATTTATATTTATTTATTTATTTATTATTTTTATTTGACTAGAGAGGGACAGAGTGAGTGAGAGAGAGAGAGAGAGAGAGAGAGAGAGAATGAATGAGAAAGCAAGCCGCCAGGCCTAGCACTCGAACCACAGTCCGCCACGTGGGAATCTAGTGCACTTAACCACCACGCCTCCTGCCCGTCCCTAAAGTCTGCTTTTCTGATTGAATTAAATTGTTCATTTTACACCCTCAAGATAGCATAGATAAAATAGGCATCCAGTCACTGCTGCTGGCTTATTGTCAAGACAATGGGGCTGTCTCCTTTTATTTCAGGGCCTATTTACCAAGTACCTTTATGCACCAAGCACTCTACTAGGTGCAGGCTATACAGTGGTGAACAAAACACATGTGAGTCATGTCCTCATGGAGTTTATAGTCTAGGAAAGGAAACAGAAACTAAAAAAAATACAAAGAATTTATAATTAAAATTTTAATATGTGCTACGAAGAAACAAATACAGAATGTAAGTGAGAATATAATGGGGCAAACCTGATTTAGGATAAAATTTAGGAGAGCCCTCTTTGCGCTAAAGATGATAGGAACTAGCCCGGGGGAGCTAGCAAAATGAAGAATAAAACTGCAGAGGGAAAAACAGATATGATGTATACAAAGGAAAAAACATAGCTTAATTTAATCAAATAAATGATGGGCTTCGTGGTAGGAGTAGAAGGAGTGTGCATGTGACACAGCATCAGATGTGGGTGACGAGATCAGAAGGGGCTTATATCAAACAGAACCTTGGAGGTAACATTATGGTGTGAGATTTGGTCTAAGTGCAAAGGAAAGCATTTGAAGGGTTTAAGAATATTTCAAACAGATCATTCTGGCTGTGATATTCATACGTGAATGGGAGGGAGATAAGAGTGAAAGGAAGAAGGCTTGTTGGGAGCCGCTTTCAGAAATCGAGATGAGAGATGATAGTGACTTGGATTATGGATGATAGTGTAGAAGAAGGTAGAGAGAAGTGAGAAGTTCAGGTACATTCTGGTTTTTATGCTAAATATACTCATAGAAATAACAGGACTTATAAATATGGATAGAGGCAGAAATAGTACAGTTCAAACGTTATTTTAGAGAACAATTTACTTATTTTTCCTGATACAATTTTTGTTTGTATCTTGGCAAGTGCTTTGTTGCTTTGGTGAGTTACAACATTTTTATCATCTTAAAATTTTGTCAGAAAATAGACATTAATATTTTGCTTGCCAAGTGTATATTAAATTGTGATTTACAGTAGTATAAAACAGTTAAAGTTAGAAGTATGTTATGTACAGTATTAGTATAAAAAAAATCATACTTGCTAGAAATGTTTTCAAACTTTCACTCTCTTTTGATAGCCAGCATTGCTTTCCACTAGAGCCTTTTTGTATTCTGAATGTCTGGAAGCCAAAATATTTTGTTTTAACTCCCACTCTATAGTATTTCCCAGCTGTGTACTTATATGGTATAATAAAAGGATTTAACAAATGGGAAATAGCAGCTGCATTTTGGAAATTCCCTTTGTGTCCCCTTTTCACTCCATAGATTCAGTAATGTGTAACAACTGTAACGTCAGACCTGTAATGACTGACACTACAAGTACCATATCACTAACCATTTTTTTTACAGGAAAGTAAAACAACAGAAGGATTTTAGGTTTCTGGGCAGACCTGCAAACCTACAGTGTGTGTGTGTGTGTGTGTGTGTGTGTGTGTGTGTCTGTGTGTGTATGTGCACACTGGCAGGGGTTATAGCAGGAGGATTTTGACTGATGTGAAATTTAATAATCATTTTATCTCATTCTACTTTAAAATAAGTATGAAGTGCCAAAGATAGTTATGAAGTGAAGTAAAACTAGAGATCCACAAGAATGGATCATATTCTTTACTTACCTGAACTGAGCCCCATGAAATAGTTGTAGAGAAATAAAATTAAAAGATTGAACAACAAAAATGTCATCACTACCTATTCAGTTTCCATTATTACTTACTTTCTGTGACATGAACAGTTAGAAACTATCCCCCAAAGTTCCTTATCTCCTGTTTTCTGGAAGGATTTTATTTTGAAATATATCATGACCACAGTGGTGCTTTTCTTTTCTTTTCTTTTTTTTTTTTTGTAGAGAGAGGAAAGACAAAACAAAGAAGTTCTGCTAATCTCATGTCCTGATTGGGGGAAAAAAACTTTAAAAATGTTAAAATTCTTATTACTTTGAAACGGTACTCTAATAAATAAGACAACACAATTTCAAATAAAAATAATGGGACAAAGAAATGTGGTATTATCTGCTGAAGATATTTTATAGTTTTATCAACTGGACTGGGGAGAAATGTCCACCTGTTGAAATATTCATTTTGTAAGCTAAATAATGTGATTGAATGTTTAAAGAAAATGAAATAAAAAAATTTGGAAAAAAATTTATTGTGTTGTTAGGCAAGGAAGGATAGAAATTTTAGAGCTAGAATTTAAGGGCCAATCTGAGATTTTAAAAATTTTACACAGATTTTCACCACACTTAGTTATATTGTGGATATCAAAATGTTCAATTTTAAATTTAATGTACTGCACATGTTAACTGGTGAGGTTCCTTCAAGGCTGAAAAATTAGTGCGAATAAGCATTTGCTGTCCTTCTGTGTACAGCCATCAATCACTCTCACTGTGACATCAGTGTAGCAGTACCTTTTCGCAGAGGGATATTGACACTGGCTA